TGTCCATCAGCAACTGAGTGGATTGAAAAACTATGGTATAGCTACACAATGGAATACTACACAGCAGAAAGAAAGAAGGAACTCCTTCCCTTCATGACAGCATGGATAAAACCAGGGAGATTACGCTAAGTGATGTAAGCCAGGCAGTGAAAAGACAAATACTATATGATCTCACCTGTAAGTGGAACCTAATCAACAAAACAAACAAGTGAGCAAAACAGGACCAGAGGCATGGAAATAAGGAACAAACTGGTAGTGACCAGAGGGGAGGGAGGAGGAGGATCACAAGGGAAAAAAAGGGAAGGGTAGAGTCAAGGGACATGTATAAAGAACCCATTGTCAGAGACAATTGAGTCGGGGGAGGATTGAATGTGGAGATGTGTGGGCAGGGCAGGGGAGAGCAATGGAGGAAAAATGGGGCCAACTGTAATTGAACAACAATAAAAATTGTTTTTAAAAGAGTTTTGTGAGAACAGCTACCAACATTAGTAAATTCAGCCCTCTGTTATAAAGCTACTGCTTATTCAGGAATTACACAAGCTTGCCAATGATAGCTTTTGACTGAAAATAAATATTTGATTTTGTTAGCTCACTTGATTCCATTTATTAAACAAGTTATTTTATATAGCTGTCCTAGAAAGTGAAGATTCTTAAGTCTCCAGCAGATGTATTTCTGATAAACAAATGTTGTTGAGTTAATGATAATTTGGAAGGTATCAGACCTTTTCTCCCCTGCTTTTAAAAGTTTATATACATATGCTCAAAATATCTACATTTGGTAACCAATTACAGAACACTTTTTCACAGCAAACCTGGTAGAATAACGTCATTTTTAACTTTTGTCATAGCTACGGCCTCAAATGATCAGACATGCAATTCTGAATTTGATTTATGGAGGACACAACCCATTTCTCTGGCTCCAGGTCTGAATGCTGTTATGGCAGAAACGTGCACTGAAAAATTTTTGTTTTCCAGGTAGACGAGGGTGATTAATGGAGAGATTCTTCTCAAATCCAGCTCCCAGGAATAAGCTGTTGTGTTCCCTGAAGCTGAAAATTAATTATTGAGGCTAATTATTTCTAATACTAAATGATTACTGACACAGGTTTGAATGTCACCATTATAATAGGTAATGCAGGATAATAAAAAACACAGACTTAATGAAAAGAAAATAAACATTCTATATATTGAGAGTAGGGGCTAGTTTTCCTAACTTAGGCCAATAATTCATGAAAAAATGCATTAAGAACAACTTAAGTAAAAGGAAAATTACATGGGGTTTTTGATCTACATAGAAATAAGTCAATTTTTTATCATTTAAAAAATTAAGAACAGAGAACAAAAATCTAAAAATAAGAATTTAGTAAATTAAATTATAAAATTACAGTAAATAAATAGATTCAAGTTAATATATTTTATCTTAAAATCTATTTAAATTTCATCTTGATTTATATTATGAACATTTTAGTTGTGTGTGCATGTGTGTGAAAATGGGCAGTGGAAGGTGATGATGAATGAACAAGACAGATGTGCAGCATCCAAAAATATACCCTAAACATAAAAAATGTGATGAGGTGAGGCTGGTCAAGTCAGTGTGAGAAACAGAGATGAAGACCAATTGAGAAAAAAAGGGAGAGACAGAGACAGATACAGAAAGATCAAGGAGCAAGAAATACAGGGTCTGGCAGAAGTAAGGCTTGCTTGAGTGTGGTTGGTAGGATACGTGAATGTCTCACATGTGATGGCCAGCAATTTGAACATTTCACCTAATGTCATATGGTGTGCTTCAGTGTGATACTGTTATGTTACAGAATGACATGCTTATGATTTTTTAATAAAAAAGAGGTGCTATTTGTGCTGGACCCTGTATATATATATGAAAAAACAGAGAGGAAAGGGAGAGTTAGAAAGACAAACATTCCCATTAGCTCAACAAATATTTATTGAGGCAAAAACAGATCCAGAGAGATGGGGAGGCATACAGAGGAAGTTCTGTAGGTCTTTGACCTTGGCCAAGTAACTATTGCTGTGTACCGAAATTGAACGAGGTTGTTTTATTTTTTTTGGGGGGGTACTAAGTGTAAAAGCACTATGCTAGACACTAAAAGAAACAAAATGAGGAATAAAATAGACTTCCCTATCTTCTCAGGACTGATTTAAAAGTTGCATTGGACCTATGAGTAAACTATCTGCTGGTTTCATTATTCTTTAAAATGATGAACTTGCTGGAAATTTAAAACAGACCTTTCTGGAGTGACAAGCAGTATTTCTGCTTTAATTTTTCATTTTAGATTATGAAGGCTTTACAAAGGTATACAGAAGAGAATTTCTGTTTTGCACCTTCAGAGATCAGAAGCATAAATAACAACCAAGAGGAGAAAACTCTGGTATTCTAAGTCACTTGGTGGCCTAATCTTTGTTCTTGGAGAAATCAGTCTTGCTTCATTACCTAGTATCTGAGAGAGATTTAAAACCATCACTTCCTTTTTTAAAAATAAATGCTATTTTTGGCTCAGTTGGGTCTTAGTGGGAATAAATAATCCAAACAAAATTATAACATCTTCTACTCCCTTCTCCCTAAAAAACAACTCTAAAAAATACACTTCATGATAAATAAATAAATAAATAACTCTCATATTTAAACCTACATACAACCAGATTAGTGCCATTCATTAGAAAGTTAATGTGAGCCATATTTTCAAATTTCTGAGAGCTATATTTTAAAAGTCTAAATGGTGAGATTAATCTTAATATATTTTATTTTAAACAATGTATATAAAATAATATTTCAACATATAACCAATATAAAATGTATTAATATTTTGTATCTTTTTTTCATTTTAACTTTTTGACATCAGGTACATATTTTATACTTATAGCATATCTCAATCTGGACTAGCCACATGTCAAGGGCTCAATAGCTACATGGTTATCGTATTGGACAGCAAAGATCTGGAATGCTACCCCTCTGTGGATTGTGTATGCTTTCCTATTGTTAGTTCCACCTTAGACCCAACCTGATTAAAATAAAATCTAAGAGCCAACTTTTACTTTCCAAAACTTCTTAATTCATAATATTGTGTGTTTACAATCTACCTTGTAGAATTTATCTTGGTGCATGAAAAAAGCGATTTGATGCTGGCATATGGAAATGAGAAGGTATGGCTTCCTTGTTTACATAAAACAACCTGTCCACCAGAGGTGAAGTAAAACTCCAGGTGGGAAATAATGGCTATATAAAAGTCAGCTCTACTGGTGAACTGAGTAGATTTGTCTTGATATTCTCCCTGTACCCTATGTAGCCCTTTGTCAAGCATTTATCATTGTAGACTTTAAGTTCCTTGAGGGCTCACACCATCAATACTCATCTATGTGTGTGCTAAAAATAAATTAATTCAAGTAAATAGTTTCTCATTTGCACTAGACATATTATAAGTGCTCTATAGCCACACATGCTAGTGTCTACCATATAGGATGGTACAGATACAGTATATCTCCATCATCACGGAAAGCTTTATTGGACAGCGCCATTACAGAGAAATGGGCAGACATACTATTTGATTGTTTAAGTGATAGGGTATCCCTAGAGACCACAAAATACTTTTTTTATGAACAAGTGAGAATACCAGTGATGTCATATGACAAAGAAAGAAGCAAAAGCACAAACAGGTATATATTTTAGCTTCCTAGAAATGCCACTCCATTATGGTTTTTAATGGAAGAACTTTGGCTATACATTTTTCCCTGAGTGAGTTTCTGTCTCCTGCTCAGGGTTTTCTTACCTTGATTTCCACGAATCACAATCCCTACAAGTCTGGGAGTGAAACATGTCCCTCTTACCCTCTAGCCAAAATTAATGAATGCTTCCCTTATTTCCCAAGATAACTTGGCAATTTCAAAAGAAACTTTAGTTCATAAGCTAAGAGGAAATAAATAAAATATAAAAATCATGAAAAATAGTCAGGCTTATATACAATATATAATTTTCTGCATCATAAGAATCCCAGGAATAGCAATAAATTGCTTGGAGAAATCATACATTCCATAATCCAAAAACAAACACTATTGGCTGAGAGGCTAGCACAATTTTGCAGGCACAGACTTCTGAGGTGCTAAATTGGTTCCTGGCATACAGTTAATTGGTGCACCCAAATATCTTGTCTCATTCTTAATTTAAGGACAGTCCTTAAGAACACTTCATTTCTCTTTCAACAAAACTTTTTCGTGTTTCAAACACTCAAACACTCAAGCCCTCCTGCTTACTTTCACATTGAGGACCGAGAAACATATGTAATTACAGCTGACTTGTAGAACTGATAACTCCTATCTTTAGCCCTGGTGAATGATCTAGGCCTGTGGTTTGTATGTCTAACTAATGGTCAGGATTATCTGAAGAACTTTTCCAAAGTTCAGTTTCCTGGTCTCCAGTCCATACTTCTGAACTAAGTCTCTGACAGTGGGGCCTCTTTATTCTTAACAAGCCTAATAGATGAAAATTTTACACTCTTACCTCTTTTAGGGATTATTGGTTAGTTTCTTCCTTACCTGGATAGTCAATTCTACCCACCTCTGGATCACTCAATAACAACTTTCCCTACCCTCATTCTGTAACTTTCTAGTTTGACAAGGAAATAGGATCTGAAGCATAATATTCATACAGATGTAGGAGGACAGGGATAAAGGGGATTTTCATACAAACTACAGGTTTTTAATAACCCTACTGCTTTCCTAAAGAAATCTGTTTGAATCCTCAAAACATACTAAATCAAAATGTCCCTAAAAAATTCAGTGTCAGCCCAACAATAGTGAAGATTCCAGCAGGATATGTTCCTTGGTTAATTATTAATAAAAGCCAACCAGAAAGGCCAACATTGAGGGTGCAAACATGGATATAACCTAGGAAATGGGAAGCATAAGTTACCCAAAATTGCAGCTGTTACTGAGTTTTAATGTATCCCTTTGGCATGTGTGTTTTGGTATTTCAAATAACAATCACTTACCCTTGACCAATTTTTTCAAATCTTGTGTATTTCTTCTTTGGGTCACCAACACTCACAATGCTTCCTGAGTAGGGGTGGGGAGAAGAGAGAGAGAGGTTAAAACTGATTGATTTCCTTTTATGTAATATTAAAAATTAAGATGCCAGGGTCAATGACAAAATATTAGAACATTCCCATGTGATTTCTTTAATTTATATGGATAATGATACATTTTTCTAAAGTACCAAATAGTAATATGTTAATTAAAGTACTAGTAATAATCATGCAGTTTACATTCAAAATTGATGATGTTTGGAAACATAAAGGACTGGTTATAACTCAACATTTATCAAAAGTACACATAAAATGATACTGTAGATTAGGAGATATAAAAACACCTAAGAACTTATACACACTTTAATTAAATCACTGTCCTCTCTGAAGTGGAATGAAATTGAGCACTACACTACATTCAATTATTAAGCAATTACTATGAACCCAGTACTGTGCTAGGGGCACTGGGGATGGGCATGGGAAGAAAATCTAATCATAAAGTAGTGATACTCAGGCTTTAAAAAAATACATCCCTGAACTTAGAACATTACTAGCACTACAAACATCTTTAAAACCATTAACTGAGGTATGATTTCCATAGCATAAAGTTCACCCATTTAAAGTGTACAATTCAACGGCCTTTAGTAAATTTTTAGAGTTGTACAAATTTGCTAAATTTTTATCATGATCTAATATTAGAACATACTTATCATACAAAAAAGAAAACTTGTACCTGTTATCAGTCACTTTTCATCTCCCCTCAGCTTTCCAACTGATTCCTAGGCAACCACTAATTTTTCTGTTTCTACAGATTGTTCAAACTTTGTGGAGTAAGTTTTTAAGCCACACACACACAAAAAACAACCATTATTTTATCATGTTTGAATCTGGAAAAATATTGGTTTTATTATTTCAAAATATCAAATCCACCATTCAGAGGATAAACACTCTCCACCATTCAGAATAAATCCAGAGGAAGTGACATTTGACTCTTCAGTGCAGTGCTCAAACAGATGCAGAAAAATTCTGTGCCATAGCATAATGGGAATAAGAGTGCGGCACCTCAAGGGGACTGCCTTGAAGGTAGTGATTTATCTGGATGCTTCTGGCCCTTCCTTCTTTCTTTTTGGAAACAAATATATCAGTATCATTACCTTTGAATTATATTTTACTAACATGGCCCCTGTCCCAAAGAAGAGTAGAGCCAGTTAGTGAAACAGGATTTACGCACATGAACTAATCAAGAGAAAGTCTGTATATTCTGTGTTCTTTTCTTTTTTAAAAGGTTTTTTTTAAATTTATTTTTAGAGAGGGGAAGGGAGGGAGAAAGAGAGGGATAGAAACATCAATGTGTGGTTGCATCTCACGTGCCCCCTGCTGGGGACCTTGCTTGCAACCCAGGCATGTGCCCTACACTGGGAATTGAACCGGTAATCCTTTGGTTTGTAAACTGGCAGTCAATCCACTGAGCCATGCCAGCTAGCACAGATTCTGTGTTCTAATTGTCATTCTTATTTATCCCCTACTCTTCATGCCCAGAACTACTCTCATTGTTCAGGCCCTCAATATCTCTTTTCCAAACAATTATGGTAGTTGTTATCTACCTCAAAACTCTGCATTTTCTAATTCCTCTTTCATAATGCTGTTGAAATTGGGTAACATGTAATTCATAATCTGAGAATGTCCTGGGTAAACTGAAATGTATGGTCAGCCTACTTCAGTAGTGATTTCAATGCATTGTTATACATTCTTCAAAAGTTCCTCCTCACTAAAGGATCAAGTTCAAATTCCTTAGTCTGGCATAGAAAGCTTCTTCCCATCAGGTGCCACCTAGCTCTTACATGACCAATTTAACCTCATATTCCTCTCATCTCACTCCCTCCAATTTTATATCCTAGTAATACTCTCACTATCGAAGGCTTAAGTCTTTGCAGGTGCTCCCCCTTTCCCTTTCCTATATAACCCATGAATTCCTATTTACCACCTAAATATAACCTCAAGTCATTCTCTGGGAAGTCTTTTCTGATCCCTCTGATGAGACTCATGAGCTTCTTCTTGAAGGAAGGAACCTTGTATTTTCATCCCTGTAACTTCAGTGCTTGGAATAGTGGCTTCCACTAAACAAATACTTGTTGACTAAGTAAATAAGAAGAAAAATATGTTTAAAGTAATAAACTGTGTGCTACAGACAATACCTTATGTTCATTTAGACAATGATCCATGTGCTGAGCTAGTGAACAACTTAATTTAAAGCTACCAGTATATCTTGAAAAATAATTAATTAAATGTTTAATTCATGGATTATTCATCAGGTTTATTTTTTGGTTGTTGTTTGTTTTTTTGTAATAGGAGTCCATGCTCCAGTTAGGTTAAATTAAGACTTGTACAATATGTGAGTTATTATAATTATTTTTCTCTTATACTTTTCAATCTCAGTCGATGGTACTACCATCCATCTATTCAGTAGCCTGAGTCAGAAATCTGTGAGGTCTCTTTGACTCATCCTTTACCTCCACTCCTCACATGCAGTTGTTCACTGAATCCTAGGCTTGTATCTGTTTACCTCCTAGATACTATCTGAATCTGTCCCTGCCTCACTAGTACTATTTTAGTTGGGATTTCCTTATTTTTTTCTGGGCTATTTCAAAAGCTTCCTAACTGGACTTCCTATTTCCAGCCTCTGCCCACTTCAGTCTAGGCTTCACATCTCTGTGAAGATGCTCTAAGTATAGACCTGATCATATGATAAGGAGTCATTGATGCTTCCCCAACAGGGTCAAGTTCAAACTCCTTGGCATGGAATGTAAGGTTCTTCATGATCTGGCTCTTGCTTTATTCTCACATCTCATTCACCATTTCCCCACTAGAACCGTATGCTTTGACCATAACCAATTAATTGTAGCTCCTGATCAGCTCCTGCTTAATAGTTTAGCTTCCACTCCTAAATCCCCACTCATTCTATCCACCACCAATTACCTCTATATTCAAGTGACATTGAAAAAGTTAAAGTTCTCAGGTATATGTCTTCATACCTTCCGTATATGCTATTCTCTGACTGTAATGTCCTTCTTAAGTTTTCTTCCTGGCAAGTTCCTATTCATGCTTCAAATCAGTTTCAGTGTTGCCAGTTCTAGGAAGCTGCCTCTGATTCTTTTGAATAAAGTTATAATATCCCTTCTCTGGACTACTGCTGTATCTCTCTCTCTCTCTCTCTCTCTCTCTCTCTCTCTCTCTCTCTCTCTCTCTCTGTTTTGCTTTTACCCCTGCTCTCTTTATCTGTACTTAATATATCTACATCTATTTATTTGCCATCCCCTTATAGATTGTGTCTTAAGGACAGAAGCTATGCCCTATTTATCTCTGTATCTTCAGTGTCTCCTTACACAGAGCTATGTATAGTACATATTGGATATTCAACAAATAAAAGTTTAATGTTGAATTAAACTCAAATAAAATTATGCATTTTCTTTTGTATTCCATTATATATATGTACCTTTTGTAAATGCCCCATATTTTAGGACAGACATTGAAGAATGTATTTCACTTGAGTTATATTTATAGAATGCCACCAATTTAACAACTTCTGAGTTGATTTTTCATTTTTCAAATCATCTCACGGATGTCTATATCACTGAGAACTATCCTTATCCAAGTCAGGTATTAATAGGTAAGAATCTGGACTACTCCAATTCTTTTTTTTTAATTAAATAACGATTTCAAAGTCCCTTGAAACCATAGTTCCATTAAGTAATTTCTAGTCTTCTAAGAAAGTTATGCTATTAAGTTGCTGAGCAAACTCCTTTCAATATAATGAACAAAAACAAATAATCTTCACCCCAAACTACTTTTTAAATTATGACCAATTCCAACCGACAGGGTTCTGTTAATGAGGTTTTATGATAGTAAATTATTCAGCCTTTATTTCCATGGTATTCATGGTAAAGTAAACTAGAAATAAACCTTTTCACAAGGATTACCAAAACACAACGATTTTGATGAAATCCTGTTTCTGAATTTAACTGCTAGTCAAATAAATCCGGCATCCTCACATTCATAACCCTTCACAGGATAGTGTTTGCTGCCATCTACTGATGTTAGGTAAATACACATGAGGTCTTGTTCAGTATTATAAATTACAAAATAAGGTTTCAAAGTGACCTCTTTCATCTACTGATGGGCATTTAGGCTGCTTCCAGCACTTGGTTTTTGTCAATTGTGCTGCTATGAACACTGGGGTGCATAGGTTCTTCTGAATTGGTGTTTTGGGATTCTTAGGGTGTAGTCCCAGCAGGGGAATCACTGGATCAAAAGGCAGTTCCATTTTCAGCTTTTTGAGGAAATTCCACACTGCTTTCCACAATGGCTGCACCAGTCTGCATTCCCATCAATACTGCAGTAGGGTTCCCTTTTCTCCACAGCCTCACCAGCACCTGTTTTTTCTTGATCTCTTTAAGATGGCCATTCTGATTGGTGTGCGGTGGTATCTCATTGTGATTATGATCTGCATTTCTCTGATGGCTAGAGATGCCAAGAATCCTTTCAAATGCCTCTGGGCCCTCTGTATTTCTTCCTTAGAAAAGCATCTGCCCAGATCCTTTGTCCATTTTTTGATTGGATCATTTGTCTTCTTGGAGTAGAGTCGTATGAGTTCTTTATATATTTCGTAGATCAAACCTCTATCTGATGTATCATTATGATAAAAAAAATTATGGTACATTTACACAATGGAATACTACACAGCAGAAAGAAAAAAAGAACTACTACCCTTCGCGACAGCATGGATGGAACTCAAGAGCATTATGCTAAGTGAAATAAGCCAGGGAGCAAAAGACAAATACCATATGATCTCACCTATAAGTGGAACCTAACCAACAATACAAAGATGCAAGGAAAATAAGACCAGCAACACTGAAAGGAAAAGAAACCAACAGAGACAAGAGGGAAGGAGGGAGGGGTGGGCAGGGGAAAAGGAAGGGAAGGGGCAAATCAAGGAACATATAGCAAGGACTCATGGACAAAGCCAAAGTGGGGAAAGATTGAGGGAGGGAGGGGGAGGGGGGCAGGGGAAAGTGGTGGGGGGGAAAGCAGAGACAAATATATTTGAAAAAATTAACAATTAATTACAAAAAGGACAGACACACAAAAAAGAACAAAGTGACCCCTTTCATCAGAGCCATTATAATTTGCGTTTACAAATTTTAATAAAGGTAAAAATCATTTTGACTCAACAGGGAAAAAGTGAAAAGAATCAACAACTCAAAATCAAGAGGAAAAAAAAATAGCAATACCAGAACAATTTCATACTAGCGCAGATTCCTAAATAAGAAACAAACTATCCATTTTAAACTACAAGGATTTAAGAAATCACTAAATACTAGTATTTGGAAATAGGATTCATAATGTGATTTCAGTCCCATTACGATGGGACTGAAAAGCCCATCAATATATTATCAATTTTAAATTAAGTTGAATTCTAACTATTAAAACATTATTGTTTCTCTCCCTCTTTCTCCCTCCCTTCCCCGCTCTCTAAAAGTAAATAAATAAATAAAATCTTCAAAAAAAAATGTCCTGGCTGGTGTGGCTAAATGGATTGAGTGCTGGCCTGCAAACCAAAGGGTCACTGGTTCAATTCCCAGTCAGGGCACATGCCTGGATTGCAGGCCAGATCCCCAGTAGGCATGCGAGAGGTAACCACACATCGATGTTTCTCTCCCTCTCTCCCTTCCCCTCTCTCTAAAATAAATAAGTAAAATATTTAAAAAATAAAACATTATTGCTTTAGTATAATGAAGATTTTGATTCTTGAGAGAAAAATAATTCTCTGAATTAATTTCAGTTCTATCTGAGGGGAAATTAGGAGAACCAGTTGTGAGTGAGGAATGCTGGGGGAAGAGAAGAACAGAGGAAGAGGTGATTGTGGGGCCCAGAGGAGAAAGGTTGAAGGCAAATTTCCTGCATTGCACAATTTTGCTGACAGTCAGTGCCTTTTGAAAAATTTAACTGAAATGTAGGGGTTTCTTTATTTTCCAACAGATTCAGACAGACCACAATGAATAGGCCATACCCAGGCTATTTGTATGTACAGTATAAAACCGAAAGATGATCTGTCCATTTCAGCCATTAGTGATTCATGATCTGGCCCCTACAATCAGTATCTGCATGGAAGATAAACAGCCTGGAGAGGTTTTTATATGGGCTTTTCACCTCATAGTGATTGGATCCCTGAGACCAAAGGTAAAGCCCCCCTCACCTATTCTCTATGCTTATGGTGGAGGGTCCACTCTGGAATGGGCTGTAAGCCATTCTTCTACCTCTGTCTTCCTTCCCCATCTCCTTTACCTCTCAGCATAGGTTCCTGTACTGCTTCCCCATGTCCGAGCGAGGGCCTTGATTCCAAGGTTCTCAAGGACTTCTGCACAAGGGCCATATATCTGAAATTATTCCTGGTTTCAAAGAATCTGTCCCTCTGTACGATCGTATGCCCCATTTTTTATGTCAAAAATATGCTCACTGTCATTTTGCAAAAATAACTTAGTAATATACTACTATTTATTGTGCTAGGTGTCTTACATATGTTACACCTCATTTACTCTTTACAAAATCCCTATTATACCAGTATTATTATTATCTCCATTTTTCAAATGAAGAAAGTGAAGTTCAGAGTTGAGTGACTTACCTAAGGATACATAGGTAGTTTAGGTTTATGACTCAAACTGAGTTATGATTCATTGCAAAGCCTGTCTTGTTGTATTATCTTAATAAGGCTTTATACTTATATAATAAAATAGTTATTACCTCTTATTGAACACCCTTTTGTACAAGATTTTTACATGCATTATTCTCCTTTAATTATCATAATGCTACAAATTTCGTACTATTCTTATCACCATTTTTTATATGAGCAAAAATGAGGCCCAGAAAAGTTAAATAACTTGCCCAAAGTGAGACAGCTGTGGTAATGGGTTTATAATTTAAATCTCGGCCTGATTCCAATACCTGTCCTTTCAGCCATTGGTACAACTACATCAAATCTATCTATAGACAAACTATTAATATGTAGTTATGATTTGTATCCCAATTTGTCAGATAAGAGACTGAGACTGAGAGGGGCTAAATAATTTGGCAAAGGCCATACAGTGAGTAAGTGGCAGAGAGAGGGCACAGAGAGGGTGCAGATGGAGTAGGAGTAGGAAAGACTGACTTTGCAGACTATGCAGTATAGTCTGAATCTGATTCATGAGAAGCAATCTCCCATTTCTTTGCAGGTTCTTCCCTCCAAGGTCTTGTAAGTACAAATTAGGGTTGGCCAACAGTTATAGGTGGCCAATTGACTAGAGTGAAAATGATTCTCTCTAGAGCCAAACTTTCCCCAACAGGGAAGGAAACAGTTAATTCATAATTTAAAATACAATCAAAGGTCATTTTCTCCTGTTCATTGTATTGCTCAGTAAAGAACAGAGTAAACAACGAATTAGAAAGTCCACAGCTCCAGTACCATTACAGTTTGTAAGCAAAGCAAGTTTTTAGCCCAAGAAAATAATGCTTGTTTCTCTGTCACTGAATTTAAGAAGGCTATAAATGTATTTTAACTCTAATAAATCTAAAACAGATACCAAATGACAGTCATTTTTACTAAAGCAAGGCTGTTAGATTTTTAACATCTAATATAACCCCATAGGTCATGTCTACATATACAAAATAAAGGAAAAAACAGGCAATTGTCTGAAGAACGGAACTGAAATTATGCCCGCAATTCTTTTATTTTTTCCTTCCCTTTTACACATGTAGACAGTTGGGACATGCAGACACAAAGCAGGTAATGGAAATGGTGTAAGCTTCAAAGGCAAACAGATTTGAGTTCAAACTCTGGCTCTGCCACTCATTAGTTTGGTGACCTGTTCACATTAGCTTATTGAGACATAATTCCACTGATCTGTAAAATGAGGATATTAAAATCTACCACAAGGGATTATTGTAAAACTTGAACTTGATAATGTATTTAAAGTGGCCAACATACAAAGTGCTCAATAAATGGGAATGATTACTATTGTTACTACAACAAATAGCTGGCATTACACTGGAGGCATATTCAATCATGTATAGTAAATTCAGTTGGCTAAAGTTCAGCAATTCCAGTTCTGAGTGCTCACAGACAGCTGCATCACAAACCTTTGCCTTTCTAAAATACCTCAAGCTCAGAATGTCTCAACCTCAGCACTGCTGACATTTAGGGCTGAATAATTCTTTGTTGCAGAGGGGAAAATATTGGTGTTGTCACTTACATTGTAGAGTATTCAGAAACATCCCTAGTCCATCCCATTCGATGCCACATGCACTCCCTGTGTCAAGACAATAAACATGCCTCTAGACATTGACAAATGCCCACCAGAAGGCAAAATGGCCCTAGAACCAACTCTGCAGAGTTTTCTTAGGACCTATAGCTCCCCTAAGCTGCTCTCCTCCTTTTTTTGAGGTATTTTAGATAGACATGTGCTTGAAATTAAATGGCTTCTTATTTTCTAATTACATCACACTATTAAATCTTATCTTACAAATAAAATTGTAATTTTCTTGATGGCAGGAAATTATTTTTCTATTGTTTCCTCCAAAGATTCTGGCATAGAACAGACAAGGATGGACCCAGTAAAGATATATTTGCTTGCTTATTTTTTCATCCATTCACTCAAGAAGCATTTGTTAAGTGCCTTTATGTACTAGACACTTTATCAGGTCTACATACAGGGAAAGAAGATATAGTCTCTGCCTTTGAGGAGCTCACAGTCTAAGTGAAGGAAGGAGGCAGACTAGTATAATGTGATATTTTCTGCCATAAAGTCAGCAAAGAAGAGGAGTACTTAGACTGGGAGAGACAAGGAAGGCTTTTCTGAGGAGGCAATGTTTCAGCTGACTTTTGAAGGTAAGTAGGAGTTAGATTGAGGGCACTCCTGTGGATAACTAGTAATGTAATAAAGGCTTCTGTTATATAGGTTTAATGAATATGAGTATATTTTACAGACCTTTACTCTTTTCAGAAGAGAATGGTTTTTAAAAAAATCTCTTTGACCCAGAATGCTAACAGGAAGAGTGTTTTGCAAAACTGGAGTAAATGTGTATGCACAAGCATGTACACATTAATGACACTGTGAGAAGGAGGCTGCTGGCTTTTGTTGGCCTTGCCCCATCTCCACAGAGAAATGTTACTAAATTAAGGAAAAAGGCTATATTATTGTGGCTGACAGTTTTGATTGATCATGTTAGGTTTTGTTTGACTTATCTATTGTGATTGATTGGTCAATTGGGAGCCCTTGGGGTATCATCATAAGACATGTCATCAGACTATTTTATTCCTTTTGGGAGTATAATCTTAAACTAAAACTTACTAAATTAATTTTGTCAAGTTTTCAGCTTAATTAATTTTTTCAAGTGAAAATATTTAGTTTCTATAAAATTAGGATTGTGAGGGAGAGATTGATCTAAAATACACAGTAAGTCCCAAATTTTAAATCACATGACTTCAGGGAACCTGGAGTTCATGCAAGCAGACTCAGACTTCTAAAGGATCAATACTCAGTCTATTTTATGAGAAACCATTCCATGAAGAAAGTAATGATGAGCAGAAGACTCACTTAGCTTCTCTAGAATCTCCTCATCTGTCATCTTGGATTTTTTCCTTTGTCGATCTGTATTTCTATACAAAGTACTAGAATTTGCGTTCTCAGCAGAAGGTGGTGTGACTTCTTTATTTGGTGCTGCTGGTGAAGCAATGGATTCAACCACAGAACGAGTGTAGATCTTAAAGACAAGAAAAAATAGTTCTACAATTAAAACAGCAGGGCAAGGAAAAGGTATGAAGTCAAGACACTGTCATATAAGTGAGTTTTTGTAGTCAACATAAATTTTAAGGAGTTTTAGGTTCACAGCAACATTTAGGGGAAGGTACAGAGATTTCCCAAATACCCTCTGACCCCACCTATGCATAGCTTCACATGTTATCAACATATCCTTACCGGATTACTGCATTTGTTACAACTGATAACACTACATTGACATCATAATCACACAAAGCCCATAATTTACATACAGTTCACTCTGAGTGTAGTACATTTTATGGGTTTGGACAAATGTATAGTGACATTTATCTATGATAATGGTTTCATGCAGAGTATTTTCACTGCTCTAATTATTGTCTGTGCTTTGCCTACTCATCCCTCCTCCTATTCTGCATCTCAACCCTCAATGAGTTTTTAAAAGACAAGTGACTTATATTAAAAAAGAACTTCACGTTTCTGCCCTTGGAAGCTCTGAGGAGCTGGACCTTTAAGACTCCCACATATGTTGTGCTAGTTCTGGTACTGGTGCCTCTGTTTATACAAGTCTTCCTAACTGATTCATATGTACTTTTTTCTCTATCTTAATATCTGTAGAGTTTTATAACTTAACATTTATTGGCATATTGTTTGGTACTATTCTCTAACTGTCATCTGCTAAACTTCCACCCTTAAGTTTTAGAACATAGTAGATGTTCAACAGATACTAGTTGATTAACTAGATTCTTACTGTGTGACTGTTCCCAAGGACATCTTTTGAATCATTTGGAAATAGTCACTTGTGACTTACTGATTTTGTATGCTCAGGTCTTGGTGCAATAACTGGTGGGGGCTCATTGTCATCTTCTTCTTCTTCCTCTTCTTCATCTTCTTCTTCAGACACAGGAGGAGCCAAAGGAGGCTCCGATGCTGTTTTTGTACTCTTATGACAAAAACAAAGTTAAAAGACCTGGTATTAATTCCTCATTGCTTTCCTTCAAAAATGAGACAGGGGAAATAAAATATTTAACTAAGTAGGGTTAGGAGGGTATGGCATCTTTTACAAAGAAGCAGAGATAAAATTCAGAGATAAAATTTGGTGGCCAGGACCTGCCCCCATTCAGAGATAAATTCAGGTCATGCTTTAAACAACATGAAATTTAAAAATGCTTATTTAAAGCCAGGGGGCGAAAGACAAATACCTTATGATCTCACCTATAAGCGGAACCTAACCAACAATGCAAAGAAGCAAGGAAAATATGACCAGCAACACTGAAAGGAAAAGAAATCAACAGAGACAAGAGGGAAGGGTGGGGGGGCAGGGAAAGGGAAGGGAAGGGGAAAGTCAAGGAACATATAGCAAGGACTCATGGACAAAACCAAAGGGGAAGAGCTGAGGGAGGGAAGGTGGGAGGGGGCAAGGGAAAGAGGTGGGGGGAAGGCAGAGACAAATGTATTTAAAAAGTAAATAAATTAATTTAATAAAAAAAAATAAAAATGCTTATTTATTTTCCACTGAGCTAAAAAAACAGGGAGATATTAATTTACTATTTTAAAGTTCAATGTTATCAAAATCAATGAATATATTTTAAAAATCAAATTAACTACTATTAAAGGTTTGAATTTGTACTGGGAAAATAGTCCATTTGTATATTGACAGGTCGTTAACCAGAAAAGGGCTATTTTGTGTTTAAAGATCAGAGCATAAGTATGGATATGGTATTAAGACAGCTCTAAAAATACTAAGTACAAGCAAACCCATGAATGTTTCTTCCCTGTTCAGCCCCCTGAAATCCACCACTCAGAGAGTAACAGACATGAAGATCTACATAAATAATTATTCCATTTTAACCAACAGGTAAATGGTGATTTGCAATGTTAAAAAATGCAATAATGCCAGCACCAAAAATAACAAAAACAACCATGGCATCTATGGTCACTTCTTGATCATTTGGTAAAATGGATCCAAAGCTGGATTTCAAAAGAACTATGGTCATGGTTCTCAAACTGTGGTCCCCAGATTAGCAACATCAGCATTATCAAGGAACTTATTAGAAAGGCATATTCTCAGGTTCCATCCAGATCTATGAATCAGATACTTTTGAAGTGGGGACTTGCAATCTTTGTTATAATAAGCTTTCCAGATGATACAGATACAGCCTCAAGTTTAAAACCCACTGAACTACGATGGAGATAATTTATGTCCAATGTGGCAGCCACTCGCCATAAATGATTACTAAACACTTATTATTGGCTAGTCTGAACTGAGGTGAGTTGTAACTGTAAAGCGCACACAAGAGAGTAAATATTCAATATGAAAAATTGGATATTTTTCTTAATGCCTTTTATAGAGTATATGTTGACATAATATTTTGAATATATTGGGTTAAGTAACATATTTTACTAAAAATAATTTTACTTTTTTCTTTTTACATTTTTAAATATGGCTACTGGAAAATTTAAAGTTACATATATAGTTTTTATTAAGTTTCTGTTGAAAAGCACTATTATAGTTGGTTTTAGATTTTTTTCTTTGTGTATGTACATATATTTATTTATTTGGTCTTTGTTTATTTCTACAGGTATACTGACTCAGGCTAATCTTAAAAAGAATTTTTATTTATTGAGGACAAATCTCCTGAGTCAGATACAGGCAGCCTACTAATAGACTTATATAAAACTACATCAGTCTATGATTATAAGTTTACTGTGGTTTTTCTACAATCATGCACAAACCTGTGTTGGAATAAGGTGTAAACATATATCTGATCAGAGCCAACAAAGTTTGTCTCTTGTGAGAAAGGAGACAACTTAAAGTTATTTGAAATTCTATTTGATTGCTTGATATACATAATGAGTGGTTTATAGTTCGAAGTGTATATGCTTAATTGAAAATGGATTGCTTATTTATACACCTATATTTAATCTTTTTCTATGTAGCAAGTCAGACAATTTTTAAATTTATTTTTACTTATTTATTTTTCAATTACAGTATGCATTGAATATTATTTTGTATTAGTTTCAGGTGTACCATATAGTGGGTTAGACAATCATATACTTTACAAAGTGTTCCACAATATATTTCCAGTTCCCACCTGGCACCATACATAATAATTACAATATTATTGACTATATTCCCTATGTTGTATTTTATATCCCCATGACTATTTGGCAACTACCAACTTGTACTTCAATCCCTTCATCATTTTTACTGAGTCCCCCAACTCCTCTCCCCTAACCCCAACTCCATCAGTCTGTTCTCTGTATCTATGGGTCTGTTTCTGCACCTATATGTATTCTTAATTTAGACAAAACAGCTTAGCTATTATATTGTATTGTTTTTATGTGTATAGCAATATATGTTAATAACATTGTTTAAAGAGGGGGGGGAATAGCTTCTTCTTATGAAAAGCTAACTCTTCAGGGCATTTCAGCGGGCACAGGGAGAAAGCTTTTGGGTAATGATATTTGATTTGTTATTTTGTTCCAGAGAGTTCTGTTCTATCTTATGCCAGCTGGGATAAAAAACTGCAACTAATTACTGTTCCTTGGTAGAAGCACAGAACCTACATATAAACTAAATACTTTTTATATGGCAAACAAAGCTATTTTATCTACTAGGCAATATGAACCATGTCTACAAAAAATAAGCTATATTATGGGCCTGGAAATGTTTTAAATGAGAAATAGCTTCTGGCCAAGATGGAGGCATTGGTAGATATGCTTTGCTTTCTTGCACAACCAAAAGAAGGATAACAATAGATTTAAAAACAAAAAATAACCAGAACTACCAGAAAATTTAACTGTATGGAAGTCTGACAACCAAGGAGTTAAAGATTAAACATTCATCCAGATCAGTTGGAGGGGTGGAGATGGGCAGCCAGGGTGGATAGGATGCACAACAAGGTGGCAGCTGGTAGACTGTGCAGTCCTATATTTGCATGGGGAGTGAGACAGACTGTACCACCCATGGTTCCAGAGGGGGGAAATAAAGCTTAAAAAACCTCTGGCTGTAAAAACCTGTGGGGGTTGCAGTGGTGGGAAAAACTGCCAGTCTCACAGGAGAGTCCGTTGGAGGGGCCCTCGGGGTCCTAGAATATACACAAGCTCACCCACCTGGGAATCAGCACCAGGGAAGCACCTCAAAGGGCTCATTTCACTTGTGGATAGTGGGGGAAGTGACTGAAGGTGGGATGACAGCTGAGCAAGCTGAATCATTCCCTCTCTGACTCCTCCCCTAAATACAGCACCACAATGCAGCCAAATGGATTGCCCCACTCTGGTGAATACCTAAGTCTCTGCCCCTTTACAATGTAATAGGTGCACTGAGACAAAGAAATATGGCCCAAATGAAAGAACAGATCAAAACTCCAGGGAAAGAAGTAAGCAATGAGGAGATACCCAACCTATCAGATACAGAGTTCAAAACACTGGTAATCAGGATGCCCACAGAAATTGTTGAGTATTGTCACAAAATAGAGGAAGAAGTGAAGGCTACACAAAGTGCAATAAAGAAAAATATGCAGGGAACCAATAGTGAAGGGAAGGAAACCAGGACTCAAATCAATGATTTGGAACAGAAGGAACAAACAAAGACCAAGTAATCTATCCAGCTTTGCTGAACAGATTATTCTATCCAGCAAAGCTGTCATTTAGAATAGAAGGGCAGATAAAGTGCTTCCCAGATAATGTAAAGTTAGAGTTCATCATCACCAAGCCCTTATTATTTGAAATGTTAAAAAGGACTTATCTATGAAAAAGAAGAAATAAAAAACTATGAACAGTAAAATGACAAAAAACTCACAACTATCAACAACTGATATTAAAAACAAAAACAAACTCAAAAACAAACTAAGCAAACAACCAGAACAGGAACAGAATCACAGAAGTGGAGATCACATGTAGGGTTATCAGAGGGGAGGGAGATGGGGGAGAATGGAGGAAATGGTACAGGGAATAAGAAACATAAATGATAGCTACAAAATAGACAGGGGAGGTTAAGAATAGTATAGGAAATAGAGAAGCCAAAAACCTTATATGTATGACCCATGGACATTAACTATGGGGAGGGGGGAATGCTGAAGGGAGGAGATGCAGTACGGATGGCGATAAAGGGGAGAAAAAAATGGGACAGCTGTTAATAGCATGATCAATAACATATCAAAAAAATGTTTTAAATGAGAAATAAATCCCACAAGAAAACTATACAGTCTCAGTTAGTTAATAGCTAATTAAATGTGTATTAAATTTAACTGTATCTTAACTAGTCATTTAAATTTAGTATTTATAGGAATTTCATTATATTAAAAAACAAATTGTAAGTTAGATTGTCCTATTTAGTAAAAATTCTTGAGTATTCATAATGATTTCCAATAAATTATACCTAACAATAAATGAAATGTTACTTGTAATAAAAAAATTTCAAAATCATTATTCTAAAAATCACTTTTAAATGTTTATAACAAAATATGAAGTGATGGATAAGGACCTTTAAAATATTTGATACAATGCATCATGTGGCTTCCATAAGTTAGAGTATATATATAGCTTTAAAGATCTAAGAATTGCCCTGCTGGCAAATATAATGGGCCAAGGTTTAGGTATCTTGACCCAATGTGTAAACTGGTACAAAGACCAATCACTGACTACTGGCCAAGCAGCAACTTTGCACATCTCAATTCTTACTATTTTACTAGAGAAAAATCCTCCTGCAAAATTTCACTGACTATTCTTAACATTAATTACTATCCTCATTATTCTTATTTCATGTGGGGAGAAAGAAGACATTATTGTGTGGGACATCATGTGGGAGCAAATACTATGCTGTCAGGTTGGTTGTTTCATTGGAAAGAACGTGAGGCCTTCAGTGGACATTATGTTTTGGATATTCTTTGGACCAGGGAGCATTAACTAACACGCAGTACACCTAGAATACCAGTCCTT